CTTGCCCTGCCCCCAGGGCACTTTTAATTCTCATTGCTAAATCCTTTAAAGGCACACAACTGTCCACAAAAGTCAAAGGGGAGAAGGGAATGAACACTTTATGACATAGTAGAGCCAAAATAAGTTTGGGAATAGGTGCTAAACCTAGGATTTGAGAAAAAGTAAAAGAAAATACATTTATCTCTCATTTTCTTAGAAAGGTAATCTATAAAGTCACCCACCTAAAGTTCAAAAATCTAATATTAAAAATTTTAGTGGATCAATCCTACAAACTTAGCTAAGTAAGAGGCAGAGACTGAGGATTATAGTTTGAGACCAGTCTGGGCACAATGTTCACAAGACCCCCTCTCAAACAGTGTCTATGGGCAGTGGTGTACACCTGTCATCCTGGCTACGTGGGGAGGCACAAATAGAAAGATCACTGTCTTATAAACTCTGGGCATAAAGCAAGATCCTGTGGGGGGAACACATGATACAGAAAAAGACTGGCAAGGCTCAAGTGGTAGATCTACTGCCTATCAAGCTTGAGGCCCTGAATTCACCGAACAGTTCCCCCTGCCGTATCGCCAAACACTGAACACTTAGAGTGTTGCTGAGGATGTGGCAGAAAAGAAACCTGAAAGCAGGTCCTGAGCAGTTGGTCACTTGAAGTGTTGCTGAGGATATAGAGAAAAAGAAGCCTGAAAACAGGGCAATAGCCCATTAAGTTTCATCAATAAAATAAAATACTGCGACTTCTTTGGAAAATCATTTTTCAAGTTCAGAAAGCTACCATGTGCAAGTGTCACCTTGATGTGGCCTAATCATGCATGATGAAAGGGACTTTGGGACTTTTCTCTTTACTTTGACTCACAGAGCCAAGGCCAGAGACACAAAAATGAATGCAGAAGCAAATGAAAACAAGTAAAAACTTAACATGTAGTCAAACATTATACTCCTCTGCATTATTTTGAGAAATTTCCATACAATGCCTTGTATGAAAATATTCATGCATTTACTTCCAAAAAATTAGAAGCTAAAATCTCCCTGAACGAGGGTACAGACAAGCAAACAATTGTATATCCAATGGAATACTATTTAGTGAGAGAAAGAACAAAGTAGTGATGCATCAGATAATAAAGATAAATCTCTAAATGCTTGTACTTAGTCATAGAGACCGGAGAAACTTATGCTCTATGAAGAAAACATGAAGCAAAGGTTGGTGTAGGGCAGAGGATAAGTGGGTGATGAAGGAAAAGCATGAGCACACTATTTTTTTTTTACCATCTTCATTATGGTAGTAGTTTTCTGTGTGCAAATACTTAAGATAATCAACCTTCTCGTTTGAAATAGACAGTGTGTTAAATGTCAACTGTATTTCAACAAAATTGTTTAAATAAAAAATAAATGGATATATATGTACACACACACACACACACACACACACACAGAGGATCACTCACCTGAATATTTTGACCATAATATCTGTTCTAAAGGACCTGGTTGGGAGAGATTTTATAGTGATTAAACTTACAGCTGGCTAAATATGATAGTATTAACTTCTTGACTGTTTGGACCTTGCATAAACCAACCAGTAGTGTGTTAATGAAGTCAAAGTCTTAGGTCATCTTTCTACCTTTCCCCCAAAATTTAGAAGGGCTTAGTAGGAGAGAGTTTTGTGAAAAAGCCAGAGGTCATACTCTACCTAATACTTCCATCCAGCCCTTTACGTAGCAGTCAGTCAATCCTAGACACAGCTTTGCCAACACAATGCTGATTGCCATGAGTGACCTCAACTTGCCTAACCTGTCTTCCAATTTTTCTTGTAACATTTACCCTTCAGAGACATTGCAGAGCAGCTGCAGAATACTCATTAGAAAATCAACTGCATTCTTTTTGTTAGTGGGGTAGGGAGGAAGCAAACTAGGGTTTGAACTCAGGGTCTTAGCTTTTTTCTCACAAGACTAGCACATGACCCTCAAGCTACACCTCCATCTCTGCCTTTTCACTGATTAATTGGAGATAAGAGTCTCAGGAAAATTTCCTGCCTAGTCTGGCTTCAAATCATGATCCTCAAACCTCTGCCTTCTGAGCAGCTAGAATTGTAGGCATGAATCACCAGTGCCTACATCATCTACATTTTTATTGTAATATTTCTTTCAAAGTATTTTAAACCCCAAAATTAGAGCCATAGTGAAATGGTTCTTGAAACAGGATAGTTTCTGAGAAGTTTGCTAACTTAGAGAAAAAAATTATTTATACATAATGTAGACTGAAATGTATTCATATAACTATTAAATCAGATGCACATATATTTATAATGTATTATACTGAATTTATATTATCCATGAATATTCTTTAATAATCAAGAACAAGTAGATTATAAAAATTCAGATTAATCTGTACTGACTGATTAGTTTAATGTTATTCTTCTTACCTTGTTAAGAACAAAATATATTTATTAAATGCCTATATAATAAAAATTATCAGAGCAACTTTAGAACTATTTGTGATGAAAGAAAGAAAATAAGAAGGAGGAAAATGGAGAAGAATGAAAGATATGGGACAGAGAGAGAAAAAAAAAGGAATAAGGAAGGAGAGAGAAAGAAATTGGATCTGCATACATGTTCTTTACTTTGTTGGTGGAGGAACTCATTACTTGGGTTAGTTTAGATTCTCATTTTCAGTTTTCTATCTTTTTCAATCACTTGAAACCTTGAAACATAAGTTAGTGTCTGGGTTCCAGATAAATTGAGTAGGCATCTCTGAAAGCAGGGCCAGAGAGAGATATACAAATAATAGTAAAAAGTGGTAGGGTAGCGCTGTTTTGATGTTAGCTGTCCTTCTTAGGACATTTTGAATGCTACATACTTTGGCATTCTTTCTCACTTCAGATGAAGTCCACAGGACAAATGAAGCATAGTAGCACGGGAGTCTTTGCTGAAGATGGGTAACATTTTCGGAGATGGTGCTTCATATCACACATCCTACAGCCAGAGCCCCTTGTTTTCCTCAAAATCATGTCTTCCTTAACAGCTGAGTATCTCAAGAGTCAGCGCTGTGAAAAGGAGCAGTTGAAAATAAGAATGGAGCTTTGCATAGCAATTGACCTCCATGGCAAACTTGTTCACTCTCAGAAGGCAAAAGAGAATGAAGGAACAGCAGAAAGAGAGAAAGAAGGAAGAAAAGGAGAGCAGGAAGGAAACAAACCATAAAGTTAGCAGGCCTACCTATCCTTCGAACACATTTTAGTTAACATGCTATTATTTGATCTTGCCTTTCACAACCCTGTGTATTCCAAGTGGGTTAGCAAACTCTTCTCCCAAACATGCTCCGTAACCCAGTAAGATAATAAAATATTCTTCATATCAGTTAATATATAAAGTAGTCAAGTTGAATGCTATTTTTATGCTAAAGCAAACCAAGATCTGGAAAAAATAAGTGGGGAAAGTATTCATTAAAAGAAACCAATGATAAGAAAACTATCCCATGATATAAGATAGGGAATGGAAACAAGTAGTGATATTGTTCATGATTAATGGTTTCAAAACTCTAGCATAGGTCTGTTTCTGAACTTTGCAGCTTCATTTCCAGTGTCCCTGTCAAACAATAGGTCTTAAATAAGCATGAAGCCCAAGCTGACATTTTTTGCAACCTTGATGTGATTTGCATGCAGATGATCAACACACCACACTTAGAGATGACAAATAGTAACTTGTTGAAATTACTATAAGACTCTGCCAAAGCTGATTCTGTAAGGATGCAGTTTCTGCATGCCTCACAAGTTCTATAGAGCAGCCAGTGATCTGACTCTGTGTCACACTTTCCTAGCAAGCTAGCAGCTCTTTGCACATTGAATCTAGATATAAGTAACATATGAGATTTGAATATGAATGGTGGAAGGGGTGACTGATCAAAATACATTGCACTTATTCAATGATTTATTGAATCAAACCCCTTTTGTACAACAACTTAACTATAATTTTTTAAATGTTAAACAACATTTGGTTTTCATAAAATGAAGCCTCTTTTCTTGGCTTGACTTTGCTAGTTTCTCTTTTTTTCTATTATAGAGTTCATTAAACTATGGGTAACAACTGATGACTCAAAGTTCCTCTCTGCCTTTGTTTAGAACACCCTTGGGTATCATGTATAATATTAATTGGTAAATTAATATGTTCAAGCTAAATCCAGCCATTGCCTCCTTTTGTAAGTATTGCTGAGCACTGCCATATCCACTTTATTTTATTTTGTTTTTGGGGGAGAGCCAGTCGTGGAGCCTGAACTCTGGGCCTGGGCTGTCCCTCAGCTCAGTAGCGCTCTACCTCTTGAACTACAACGCCACTTCGGGCTTTTTTCTTTTTTCTTATGTGGTGTTGAGAAATCGAACCCAGGGCCTCAGGCATGCAAAGCAAGCGCTCTACCACTGAGCCACCTTCCCAGCCCTCCACTTTATTTTGTATATCACCAATTGTGCCTTTCCTGCTACAATGGCAGAGTTGGGTAGATGTCATAGATGCCACATGACTCACAGAAGCAAAAAATGCTACAGACCTTTTTGAAAAACTTTGATGACCCTCGACTTAGAACAATCTACAAGCTTCCAATCTGCATTATCTACAATTTACCAGGTAAGATGTAGTAAAAAGAAGAAGAAAAACTCTTCCTCTAATTCAACAGGTTTTCCATGGAGCTAAGGAACTTCCATTTCTGCTTCTTACTCTTTAATGGACCATGTCCTCTGTTGCCATTTTATTTATTGCTGCATCTATGTTGTCACTGTATTCCCTGAAAAGTTGTTGACTTACTAAGCTGTTGACTTTTAAGTTTGCAATGAGGATGACCAGAAGAGGCAAAGATCATTTATCTCAAATCCATGAGAAGATCTTCATGAAGAAATTGAGAGTTAATTTTCCCACCATAAAACATTGAAGTGTAGAACACTGAATTAAAAACAGCAAAGAGAGGCAGAGGGAAAAGACACAAAAGAAGCCAAAGATAAATACACCAAGAGTACTTACTTGGTAAGTGTACTCTGGATAACTAGGTTAGAATGTTCATTCAGGGCAGTGGGAGACAGGACCAGACTTCAAAGGACCCTGAAAAGCAGAGAGACAATGTTACTGCATCATAAGCTAATCAAATGACTGCTTCATTATCAATTAGAGATGAGAGAGAAAAGAAAAGTGAAACTGGAATAAAAGTGAAAACAAGGTTATTATTCTAAGCATGGAGTTAAAAGAATATTAAAAACACAGTTCTGTGAAAAAAAAATCAGTATGGATATCTTCTTAGTACTACTATCAGGGCCTTGTTCTTGCATGACATACACTTAGTCCATACCTCCAGTCTCTGTAGGTTATTTTAGAAGTACTGTCTGATTTTATGTCCTGGCCAACCTGAGCTGCAGTTCTCTTATTTGTCCTCCCATTGTCCCTGGGACAGCAAGTTCACAACACTGCATCCAGCCTTTGTGCTTTCTCCATAGCTAGGAAAGCTAGCCTATGCCACAACTCCCAGCCATTGGTTGGAATGGAATGTTTTGAACTTCATTTTGCCTGGAACAGTGTTCTCTCCCGATCTCCGCCTCCCAAATAGTGTCTTTCATGACTTTTTAAATACATTTTCATTACAAAATTTTTCTCTGGTCCACAATAGGTCTTGCTCCCTATCTCTTGTAGATAGGATTGAACAGATTCCGTGGATTCATTTCATAATCTTTTATTTATGTTTTCCCACATTTAAAATAAATAAGGTTAATACTGACACAATAAGATTGTATGGCTCTTACAAGGATCTATTCTTTTCTATCATACCTCTTTTGTTCCATCTTGCTTAGCAAATCGGATGCTAGATATATTTTGATTAGTTTGTACTTTAATGGATCATGTGTGGAGGGTCCACCTTTCACATTGGGACCATTAATTTTTCCTGAGTCTGATTGAAAAAACAGGTAGAGCTTTTTTGTGTGTGCTGATTGAAAAGTGATGGATTATTTTCATGTGGTAAGAAACACAATGTTTTCTTTAGCACAGCAGGATATAATGTTTGCAAGGTCTAACAGTGAAATATTATGCATATCTGTTGCTGGCCGGCTGCCAGAAATGGAGCAGCAAAATCAGAGGAGATTTTGAACTTGAATCTTAAAGCCAGTTGCAGCCTACAAAGAAATTAATGAGCCATTGTAAGCAGAAAAAGCATTTGTACTAATAGATGAGACCTGCCATACATGCCAGCATTTAGGAAAATGGTAAATAATTATTCATTTAAATGTTACCTTGAACTTCATGAAAAAGAAAGGTATTTATTTCGAGTAATTTTTAACAGGCACTACTATGAAGATAATCCCCCACACACACCCCAATTCATAGGCCATGACATTTTTTCCCTAGTAAAAGTAGTCATTTCCATATAGTTTTCTTTTTCTTCATGGCTTGATAATTCAGAGAAAGTTCTTTTTTTGTTTTGTTTTGTTTTGTCAGTCTTGGTGCTTGAACTCTGGGCCTGGGCGCTGTCCCTTAGCTCTTCAGCTCAAGGCTAGTACTCTACCATTAAAGCCACAGCGCCACTTCTGGCTTTTTCTGCTTATGTGGTGCTAAGGAATAGAACCCATGGCCTCATGCATGCAAAGCAAGCACTCTACCAAGTCACCTTCCCAGCCCTCAGAGAAAGTTTTATTTCACCATTGTTTAGTATTTAAAACTGGCATTTTCAAATTAGTATACAGGATCATGGGAAAGCTTTGAAATGTCATACAAACTAAATATATAAACATGGTATTAAAAGTGAGGAAGCAGATGTTTTAAATTTTTCCAATGTCTTGAGTGCTTTTATTTTCAAAGTTCAATATATGGCCAGGAGACACCTTTCTGTACTATGTCATGATAAGCTAGTACTATATTAAGGGAAACACCATCGATATCTGTTTTTGTATTTAGAACTGATCAAGATAGACTGTTTTCAAAGAAGCATTTGCTATCTTTTCTGGACTTTAACATCATTTTCTTCCTTCATAACAGGAAGTTTTTTGGTAGGCAGTAATTGAAAGATGGGTCTAGGAAGTGGCGCTGTGCTCAAGCTCAAGCAGTAGAACCCTTGCCTTGAGCTGAAGAGCGCAGGGACAGTGCCCAGGACTAGAGTTCAAGCCCCACGACTGACAAAAAAAAAAAAAAAAACTCCCAGAAAGATGGGTCTAGCCTAGCCTTTGCTCACCTTTACCCAGAGAAGCCACAACGAATACAGAAGCCATACTTAGCATTCCTTCATTTCTCATAAATAGAGAAATCTAATAGGAGGAGACATTCTCTACATTTTAGTGCCTTATGTATTTTCCAAGACTATATTTCAATCTCCATTTTAAAGGTAGTGTAATGACTTTAAATTATATGCTTTTGTTTTTATGGCCAAAATAATCTCCCATGGCTACAACATGCTGGCAGGGACAGAGAGGCCCAGGGGCTCTGGATCATCCATGCTCTTTAAAGTCGCCATGGAGACTTGCTTGTGACAGGTTTGGTCAGTCAACCTGCTAGCTCATTCACTCACCAGGTAGTGTTTGGGGAAGCTGGACTGACTCTACCAGGTCTCAGGGGCTATGAGGGGAAATTTACTGCTCATTCAGCATCCCAAATTGTGCTCTCCTGACCGAGGCCTGGTCTATCTCCAAACAGACATTAAGCCTCAAAACCTTTCTAGCACAGCTTACAAACTAGGGAAATATGGCTTATTTTCTACATATTAATTTGAAATGTCATGCTTTATATAGACACATTTGATCTGTTTAGTAAGACTAAATGATAGATCAATTTAAAGAATTTCACAAGCACGTAGTCCATATATTAATCTGCCAGCAAGTCTCCAAAATATTAGCTTGTCTTTTCCAAACAAAGCTGAATAAAACATACAACAGAATGCAATATCAATTCAAATATTTTTTTCAAAACTATGATGCAATCATCACATGTGATTGAAAATATACTCTAGATTTTTACCAAAAAAATCAGTTCTATGCAATTATTCTATTTGATTTGTGTGATCTTGACTCTGTCCTATCAAAATGATAAACCTTTTATTTTTGCTTAGAGACTTGTGAAAAAATAGAAATAAAAGATTAAAGAGTCTCAAAGTAACTTAATAAAATGCTTGAGTACATATATCTTAAAGCAAAGTAGGTTATGTCCATTTTAAAGACTTTTAAACTTTAACATGGAAGTTATTCTAGTGTCTGCCCAACAAAACTATCATGGAAACAATATTTAAACTTTAGAGGAACCAGAAAAAATAATCCTGACAATGCTTTCTGATTTTTAGTAAAATATATTTTAAACAAGGGCAGAAGTAAAAAGAGAAAGAACAAAAAGAAGGAGAAAGGAGGAAGAGAAGAAGGGAGGGAAGGAGAGCTGCTTTTCTATTAAAGTGTTCATTGCTAGAGTTACGATTCTACCGAAAGTGATTAAGTTTAGATTATATAGTTTATTGGAGTATTGCAACAAAAATACAATCTATAGTGTATGTACAAATGTGTATTTATTGTGTCTGTAATATACTGTTTCTCTAAGGATAAAAAACACCTAGTATTTTTTACATACTTTGTGATTTTCTATTTCTGATCTCCATGTTTTCTGAGTTATTCCTAATAATCATAATCATATTCGTTGTATACCTTATATTTTGTATGCGATTATATCACTTAGTGATTACACTGTTCCTTGGTTCATATTTCTTAGCCTGTATATTCCTAGTGCACTCTGTCCATCTTTGCCCTTGACCTTCAGATTAGCCTCTGAAAACTCTTCAGTAATTTATTAAAGAAAAACTCACTCTGTTTTAATATTTATGGAGATAAAAATTCAACTTGAGAAAACAATAAATACATTAAATAACCAAGTAAAGCTATTGTTTAAATGCTTGATTGAAATTTAATATGCCTGTTATAACTTTTCGAATCTCCTCCACATTTTATAATAGCCAAAGTCTCCAAAACTCTGAGCCTGGAAAAGAATTCACAAGTACCAACCTGACACTGAGGAGTTTCATTGAATACAACCCAAGCTTGTGAAGCTAAAAGCAGACTGGTCCTTTAGCTATATCTATAATTTGAGTAATCACACATCAAGTATATTTTGTTACTGAAAAAATCAGATGCCTTAGGTTCATCAAATAGACTTTTTCCACAGACTGAAAGTAGAATTTGCATGTAAGAGAAGTAATCACAGTTCAACTTCATCCTGCTATTATAAAACACTTAAACAATCCAGAATTCCTTTTCTAAAGTCATATTTGAATTTACCATATTTTTTCTAAGAGAAATTCTCTGTTTAAACCATGACTTTTCCCTCTGTTAGGGAAAAAAACCCCACATTTGAGAATATTCTCAGCAGGGTTGTTTTTCTTAAAATGTTCTTAACATGCATGTTCACTTTTAGTGAAATATTTCTGCATTTACGTAGATATTTCTACAGCAGTTAAATTTATATTTAAGACAGTCACTTTCCTCTTTTAAATTCAAGAAGTACACATTGGACATTGAGCTAAAAATTCACTTGTGCCTTTAAGGCCTTTGTAGTAATAAGAGTTTTCAACTGATAACAAATTTTAACTAACAAAACCCATTCAAATATTTTGAAACTTTGAATGCAATGGATTGTTTGAAAGCAACCGGGATATTTTTCACTCATTTGCTCTTAATTTTAACTGATTTCTAAAATGTATTTTTCTTGAAGTTGGAGAGTTTCACATTTTGAAACCAACTGACAGATCTTTTATGAATATTGAGAAAGTCATCCTTAGCTCTCTTGCAGCCCAGCAAAAATGCAAAAAAGAATCATAATATGCATTTTGGAGAGCTGTGTGGTGATAAAACAGAGCCCCATGGTAAAGAACAGACGGGAAATGGTAGTAATTATTAATTTAGAAAAGCAAGAGAGCGACCCAGCATTTCAGTAATGTGGCAAGTTGTGTGCTCTTGAATGAGAGAGGGTTTTATAATTGGATTTTAGCGTAATTTAGAAGACGAGATAAGATGTAATGGTTGCGTATTAGAGGTTAGAACTACAACAGAAACCCATAATGTAAGGGTTCACTGCACTGGGAGAAAACAGAACAAAGAAAAACAGCATCCACTGAAAATGGCCTGAGTAGGAAGCAACAGGGTGCAAGCCAGGGTGGGACAGTTCTGAGTGGCCAAGGCAGTGATAGCCACGCTCGATGTGGCTACAGCAGAGAGTAAGGAACATGGAGCTTTCTTCAAAACCATTTCTGTACAGACGTCTGCCCTCTCACCTCTCTTCTTCTTCTGGGAAAGTTCAGCATGGCATTTCCTTCTCCCCCAGCAGCCCAGTAATCATCCTTGAATCTCCTCTAGCCCTCAAACAGCTCTCTTGGGGACTCACCTCATGGACCCCAGCTTCTCTTAGGGGAAGGTGTGG